TATATATATATATCATATGATCCTCACCAATTTTTTTTCCTCATTTCCCACTTCTCTCTTCTTCTAAACAACTAAAAAACTTATTTTCTTACACTCAAAATTGATTGAAACGATGTTAAGCGTTGTGAAAAAATGACATGGGAAAGTAAATGGCGAAACTGAGAAACTGGACTTAGAATCTGATGGGGATATGTTTAGCCCCCACCTTAGACTCAGTCCTTGAATGTAACTGATGAATGACAATTCACAATTTGTTGTACGTGTTAATCATCTTTTTTTTTTTTTAGAGCTTTTAAGGGAATAACATCTTATTTCCATTAATTTAAATGAAAAACAAATATTTAAATTTATTAAATATTTTTTAATTTATTATTAATATTTTTTTTTTTAAAAATATAGTATAATATTTTGATTAAATAAACTACAAAACCATATATACATATATATATATATATACATATATATATATATATATATACATATACATATATATATATATATATATAATTCGAACTCATCACTGATAAATGTTAAAATAATCTTATCTCAATTGATTTACATCCTCGTTTAATTAAAAAAATTGAATTCATGCATATCATTTTTTTTCCTTATATATGGATAAAAAACAATTTAACATACTTGTTATTATTATTTTTATTCCTGTTATGATATTATCATTGTTAATGAATGTGCATAGTTAAACTTTATATTTAAATATAATCATAAAAATTTAGCTTTAATATCTAATTAAAGATTAATTTGTCTTTATATTTTATAACTTTAAATTAAAAAATATAAATAATTATTTTTTGGACATTACACTCAAACTGTTTTATGACCTTCATTTATCCTCTAATATTGGAGGTGAGATAAAATTAGATGAGGAAAGATTTTACTCTATCTCATTCTCTTCTCATCTCCTCTTAAAAATTGAATTAATGATAAAAAAAAATTAAAAATACAAGCCTTTCGTCTCCTCGCTCTCTTCTCTATTTTTCTCCTATAAAACATTGTAAGAATATTGATGCAGAGACTTTCATTATAGTGAGTCGGCCACACTAAGCATTATGGAAAAAACAACTTGGAAAAAGTACATGGCAAAACTAAATATGTGTTTGGTTTAACTTTTAATTATATCAAAATTAATTGCAAAACCATGTTGAAGGCAAGCAACAAATAGTTGGTTCAAACTTTTTCTAAGTTTTCATCATACTTTTGGGGTCATAATTAAGAGTTTCTCTATTTTCGATAGAGAATTTCTCAAAAATTCTTTTTTAACTTATATCAAAATAAACTTTATAAATTTAGAAGTTTCTTTACTGAAAAATAATTTTTATTTTCAATAAAAAAATTCTTAAAAATCATTTTCTAACTTGTATCAAAACAAATTTTATAAGAGATTAAATCACTAGAATTAATTTAATAGTTAGAAGTAGAGATTGAGATAAAAGTATGAAAACCTAAGTTTAATTCTCGTTGATCTCTTTATATTATTATCTATGGATTAAAAAACATAAGATGTTGGGCTTGAATGTAATGGATCAAGGACCATTTTTTTTTTTTGTAATTTTTTATTGTCTATTTTTCTATATAGCTTTTATGGGAATAACATCTTACTTTCAATAATTTAAATAAAAAATATTTTAAATGCATTAATATATTTTAATTTATTATTAATGTTTTTTAAGATACTAAAAATATTTAATGTTTTGAACATCGGACCAAACAATTCATCCATAAAGCTGGTGAACCATTCCAGTATTCTGTTTAAATAAACTACAACACTAGCTTTAAGAAAAAGTGAAAAACTAGCAAAAATTCTGATAAAACTCAGGCAAAAACTAATTCATAGCTGATTAATGAAAATTACTCTACGGAAAAAATGATAAAACAGTTTAAGGCATTTGTTATGATTTAAATATTATGATACATTTAATTTGAACTTCTATGTATATTTAATAATGATAATAATAATAATAATAATTAATAATAATAATTAATAATAATAATTATTATTATTATTAAGATAAAAGACAAACCATGTTTCCATGCGAAACAACTTCTACCATTATTCGAGATATATATATATATATATATATATATATATATATATAAGTAAAAAAATTATATATAAAAAATAAGATAATCTATTTTATTATTAGTATATATTATCGAATTAACTATGATCACACTATTAAACATTTAAATCCGTCCCACGAAAGAGTTAATGGTCATAGTTTGGTTGTTTGTTTGTTTTTTTTTTTTTTTTTATCGAAGTGAGAATTTTGATTATAAAAACTTTTCTCCATATATACTAGAATTTAACTCTTGTAACGTAGAAGAGCGTGCTATAAAAGATAATATATACCCATAATTATTAATTAAAAAATCAAGAATTATGATATCTATTATTTTTTAATCAACAATTATTATTACACTTTATTCATTAAAATAAAATTTCTTCCTTTTAAGAAAGTTAAATCCTACCTGCTAAATGCCTAAATATTAACTAGCGACTACGAATAGAAAAACAAGGAATTCATGCTGGAAAACACTTGTTTTACACCACTTTCTTTGTATATCATGATCCAGTAGCAAGTACATCTCTATGTAAAATTGCATTGATATATTTCCTTACTTTTTTTGAGGCCTAGCCTCAATAAATAAATAAAAATAGTCCACATGGACCATACTCTACTAATCGTATACTCAACTAATTAACCATTTAACCAATTTCCCATGAAATTCTAAACACTTGTGGTCAGTTCTGTGTGAAGGTGAAAAAAAGTGATTTATGGACAAGTTTTTTTATAAGTAAAGTTGCCTTGAATACCAAATTAAATTATTGTGATCGTCAACAAATTTTGGCATCCAAACAGCACGTTAAATCTTGCTCAATGAATCGAGTCAATAGGTATGGAATCCATATGGTAGGATAATCCCAGTTTCTGGAATCACAAGAATGAGGATTTTGTTTTTTTTCATTCTTAAAGCAAGACGAGATATTAGTCTATTCAAAGAAATAATCTTATGAAATAGGAAAAACAAATAAAGAAACAAAGTAGTACCCCAAACATGTCTACGCTAAACTGCTTTACTCAAAATAAAACTACACCGTATACCTCATAGCAATGGGCTACATAAAGCAACTAATCATTTAGCAAAACGTCAAAGATTGGGGTACATATTTAAGAATTTATAATTGTCGATAATGCTTACCATAAAACCATCCAAAAAATAACATTAAAAGAGTAGATGAAAATTCCTAAGATACGGCCATTGACTCATTCACGACATCACTTCCTCAAAACAAAGCAAAGAAGATTGCATTTTACCTCTTTCTCTTCTTATTTCCTGCAGCAGCACCCTTATTGAATTTACTAAAATCATTGGTGGTGTCGGCAGTATTCTGCTTTTTCATTCCCTTCTTGCCTCCAAAACCAAATTTGGAATCCCTACCATCTCTCTTCTTCTGTTTCTTTCCTTTACCAAATGCTTGCTTTGCCTTCCCTCCTGATCGATCCCATGGAGACACTCCAGGCCTTTTCTTATTTGACCTCTCGAAAACCTTTCCGTCCTCAAAGTTGAAATCCATATCTGCATCATTGCCATTGTCAGCAAAACCACTTTGTTGCCTCTGCTTCCTCCATTTCTTAACAGATTCAATGTCATCCTTTTTCTTCTTAGCCCGTTCTTTCAATTTCTGAGCCTGAATCTCTTTGGACAATCTCTTGGCCTCCCTGGCCTTTCTTCTCTCTTCAGCCTCTTCCATCTTTCGCTTCTCTGCTAATAAGCGACCTTTCACCTTTTCCATGTGGCCATCTGTCTTTACCATCTCTGCATAATAGTCTGCAGGTCTTAGAAAAGGGAGACCCATTGACTGAAGTTTCTCAAAGGCCTGCCTAGTTCCCTCTAATGCCTGTGTGTAGAAAGCAAGTTCCCGTGCCAAGTCATCATTGACATCTACTTCTTGCTCTTGATCAATATCAACAGAGAGTTTGTGTATCCAGTCCACATTCTCTGGCCAGCTGATGTCTCCAAGTTTATCTAGTAGAGCATCTCGGTTATATACTGCATTTTTAGATGGCTCAGTTAATCTCACATCTTCTTCCTGTTCTGATTCCGATGATGACATTTCTTCACTCAGATCTGCAGTCTCATCCTCGATCCTTGTAACATCATTTACTGAAGGAATTTCCATTTAACCTACACAGATATTTAAAAGGAAAAAAAAGTTCAATTTACACCGACACATTACAATATAGCATTGATAACCATTGTTTCTTTATTTTTTCATGTACTAAATAGAACTTCATTAAAGAACATTCTAAGCCACAAATATCTCTCGGCCAAAAGGTGGAGAGGAGGCATAACATCCAAAGAAGCATCATAGCTTAGGAAAGATGCATGAGCCAAATAAACCATATTTTGGAAATAATGTTATAGGCAGAACCCTTAACACAATTGACATAAATTGCATAATCACATACAATGGTATAGCTCGTGAACAGGACACCAGTTGCACAGATGGGAAAAGGAGAAACGAATAAAATATCACTTAACAGTCCAAACAGTATAAACAAGTAAGAAAACTCAATGAAGCATTCAGGACAGAAAGCAATTAAAGGGTCAATAAACAATATAGTTTAATCCCCTGAATAAGTATCATATTGAGTAACCTCTACCTCAAAGAGAGTACTAGTTTTGCCCCCAAACCTAAACTTGCTAAGTTGCTATCATTTCATCTAGAATGGCACGGCAACGATTAAAACAAGAGAATTGAACAAACATAACCCTAATACTTTGTTTAGAATAGTAAATAGAAATGGAATTGGTTTGTGATGATTTAAGGGTTGGGGAAAACCACTCCAACCCAGCAACTAGAAATAAATTCAAAAAGAAGAAGAAGAGATGGAATTGAAAACAGAAGAGGGAGAAAAAGTGACCTAGGGAAGCAGTGACACGGCAGAGAAAGCTGAACGAGCGAAGCTCTGTGTGATGCGCAGTTTTAGTTTAGGGTTTAAGGTCTCAATGAAATATGAATCTCTATTTTTCTTTTACTTTTATATTTTCAAAGTTAAAAGAAAAAAGAAAGAAAAAGGAATCGCGGGTCTCGGCCCACGCGGTAAATGGATCGGGTTTGTCTCCGGTTAGGTTATTTAAAAGGAATAACATCTATTAAATATTTCCAATAACTTAAATAAAAATAAATAAATTTCTAATTATTTTTTTTATAGACCAAATTTTTAGTTAGACCTTATTTTTAGTCCTTTTATAATTTTTAATGTGTAATTTTCATCTCTTTAATTTTAGATACATAATTTTATTCTTTCAATCTTTAAAAGTATATAATTTTAGTTCTCTTATTAATTAATGGACTTTATAAAGATTAATTCACCGTAACTTTTATCATTTTAATCACTTAATTCATAAAATATAATTTAAACATTACATAATATGTAATAGTATTGTTTGATTTTTTTTTATTTTATAATTCCTTATTATTATTTTATATTATATGTTAATATTTATTAGATAAAAAAATATTATATAATTAATTTACAAGAAAAATTATTTTTTACTTAAAAAATATGTTATTTATTAATTTTAAACAAGATTAACATATAAATACTAAAATTTCGGATTAAAAATTATAAAAAAAAAAGTAAAGATGAATAATTTTTTTTTTTTATAAAAATATTATAAACTAAAACTAACTTACATAAGTTCTTTCATATTAATTTTAAAAAAAATCATTTTTAATTTATATTTAAGTTAATTTTAGTTTATAAAAAGTCTAATTTCATTTTTTTCTTATTTTTTATCCTATAAATATTTATAGAAAAATTTACTCAAACATACCTAATTACAAATTTAAAAATCATTCATTGATTTTTGTTGTTAGTTTGTATAATGTACAGATTAAAATAATAGTTATAAAATTTGATTATATATAATAAATATTTAAGTTATACACGGTTTAGATTAAAATATTAGTTATTATTATATATAATAATTATATATAATAATAATAATAATAAATAAATAAATAAATAAATAAATAAAAGTCACCATCCTCTTTCAAAATACTACCTTTGATTCTTTGAGCGACTTTTTTGAATATAGAAGCATATACCCCCAATGAAATGTAAGAAAATTGTTATATTTCACATAATTCTAATTGTGTACATAATAAATTAAGTTGACTCAAATCTGACATCATAGAGAGTAGAGACAGGCTCATTAATAATATAGTCATTCCTTATTCTCCAAATGTAATCCAAATCCTCATAATGTCCTTCTACTATCCTTAACCTCAATCTTCCAGTGCCCATCAGACAAATTGGCATTCCTTGCCCATATTCTCCGTTGCACTATCCTTTCCTCCATTTTCTTTGTAAGGCCACAAAAGGATTTCAACTCTTTGGACATGCTATCATAAACCTGCCACCACATGTGATGAGCCAAGTCACTAGCAAAAATATGAAGTTCCTTCACGTCCCAATTACAGTCATAATCTCTGTAACACATCCACGGCTTCAAACCCAAGTAATGCATCACATGCAAGTCTTCTGGAATCTCTTCAAAACTCTTCACGTAGTTTAGTTTCATTGGCAACCGGTGCCACCACGTGAACACCTCGTTCACCAAACCTTGGTCAACTCCATTATACGGTTTCACATCCAAACTTTTCTTCATCAAGTTTTCGAACATGCACATGGATGGCTCAATGACCATCAACCCAGAATTGAACATGGTGAAGTCATTAGGAGATGCTGATAATTGAGGGTAATTGAAGAGATCATCGATGCTCTTTAGGACAAGAAGATCAGCATCTAGGAAGATTATTTTGTCATACATGGTTAGTTGCCACATTCTTAACTTGCTATAGTTCCACTCGTTGTATGAACCTTTTTCGGCAAAAGGGTTTAGGATACGTTTGATGCGTTTGATCTTCCACCCTGCTGATTTTAGACCTCTTAGGGATTTGGGACCAATGGATTCATCAGCAAGGAGGAGTAGGTCTGTGGTTTGGTTGTTGTTGTTGTGTTGACGGATACTTTGTGCTAGAGCTATTGCACCACACACATAAGCTTCTGAAGAGTGGAGAACTGTCACATAGGCTAATTTTGGGACCCGAATAATGGTGTAATTGTTATTCAATGTTGCTTGTGACTGTGACATATAGCCACTCCTTACCTCCTTACCTGTATATGATAATAACCAAAATAGGTTAGTTCTTTTATTTTTCATTTCTCTTACTTTTTGGAAGCAGAATGTTACTTCAGTAGTTGACTTTATGACGAAAGTTTGAATGAAATATACAAATTTGTTTCTGAGCCAAGTTTCATTAAACTTTTATTGTTGCGACTTGCAAGCTATCTATATATATTTCTTTGCTATGTCACTGTACCATAACTCATCATATTAACATACGGTAAAAAATTGAAAAGAATAGCAGAAAAGGAACCAAGGGAGACAAAATCTAATATACATGGTCAAATGCCAAGAAGAGGATATGAATTCAATGTGTTTGAAAGTTAAATAATTGTTTAATTAATTATGTAAACCACTTTTTAATGTAATCTAAAAACTACTAATTACCAAAAATAGTTTAATTAGACATCTTATTATAGTTCCTTAATGGGAAAGAAAATATACCTATTTCTGCATAACCAGGAGCAATCTGGCATGAACCAACTGGCATAAGCATTTTGTGTCTGAGGCTCACCAAATCAGGCTTGTAAACCCAATACTCACCTGATTGATGCAACAATAGGTCATCACACTTGAAAATATCCACCATAGGATCACAAGACCCAATAAACACAACATACACAGGCTCATAAGCATCCAACTTGTCCACCCATCCACTCTCCACCGCCAAATTAGCCACCACCAAGTTAACTTGCAACCTAAACACATCTCTAATGCCACTGCCACATGGAACTCTTGCTACCACCACATTGAGATCTCGGTACATCTCCCACGTTGGCATAGGCAAATCCGGGCACTTTGGACCACTCCATTTTCCATATTCATCAATCCACACAGGGAAAAAGTCTTTCCACTTCAAGCTCTCATCAACATGATCAAAATCAACACACACACTCTCCACTTGTGGGTGCAGTGCATGTAGTTGCTCATATAGACCAATATCAACTCTTGTATCAACATTAACTAGACCTAATTTGATCCTCTTTCTACCGTTGTTTTTCTCTATGACATCAAACCAAACAGGTTTTCTTTTATCTTTCTCAAATAATGTACTGGTGGCAATGGAGACTCTTTTGGGCTTCATTGAAAGTAGAGAAAGCGTGAAGCCTATGCAGAAGAGCGTGAGAATAAGAAACTTTTTCTGCTTTATAGACAAATGATGAGAAGAGGAGGAAGACTTGGAGGCCATTTCGTTCCCAGTTTTGCATTTTTTGCATGGAAGTTATATATTTATATTCATCAGGTTCTAATCCAACTTTTGCGATTTGCATGACGGTATGTTAGACTTAGAGCTCCTTTCTGTCACGTTCATGATCCACATGTGCACACGATATCAATTAATTAATGATCCAAAAAAAAATCCTTAGGTTGGAGATGCTATGAAAAGCTCCAGTCTAACGCTAGCTTTTAGTTTAGTGCATCCATTTAAAACAAAAATACAAAGTGTAACAATCCTACAAAATTACCATATAGCATAACCGAACACAGTTTAGCTTCTTCAACGGCTGAGTTAACCAATAAGAGAGACAGAGAGAAATTTAAGCCCCCCATAAAACAGAGAGATTTAAAGAGTAATTATATATAGCCTTGGATATATTTCTGTCTAGTCAAATCTCAATTCTCAATTAAAAATAAGAAAGAAAATATAAATAATAAAAAAATGTATGAGATTTAATGATGAAAAGTTTTATTAGAGAAAATTCAAGAAAAAATTTCATACAACAATTTATATAATAATCTGTACAACATTTTTTATATCTATATTTTCATTATTAAATAAATATAATGAATGATGTGATGGAACACACAAAATAATATTATACAAATCATTTTACAAGTATCATTTCTCTTTCCTAAGTTTATAATACATAAATAATGGGAAAAAGAAATAAACATAGAAAATGATGTATGAATTGGTATACAAATTGTTGCTAAGTGTATCATTATTTTTGTCTTTTCTGCTATAATTCAAGTGACCATAATTGGTAGATAGACACAATTTTAAGGGACCAAATTAAAAAGAAAAAAAAAAGTCACGAACATTGTAAAAAAAATCCCTTTAAAATTAGGGCAAGAGAGATTTTATAGATTTTGATCATAAATATCTTCTACGGGAGACTCGTAAATATTCATATGGTGAAACAAATTTTACCAGCAAAAATTGTTACATATATACACAACTTCAACATTAAATCTTGCTTAAAGAAAATCAGAGCATATATTACTTGGCAGTTGGCATCCATGATCCATTGACAACGTAAGAGAGATTAAACTAATATAACGTTAAGTGACTGATATTTGCCATCTAACTAATCATGGAAAGGATTTGCTGAAGTGCCTTTCCAACGTCTGATAGAGGATTGTCCCATTAGTCAAATTGGCCAGTGGCCACCTAAAAATTTGCCGTCGCTGGTACATAATACACGCATAAATTTTGATACAAGTAAATATTGTGGCCGCAATTGTTAGATTAGGCCTGTTACGTATCATGACGTAAGATCTTCCTGAATTAGGATCTGTGAAATGAGCAAGATAAATGCATGATTACACACCAAACAGTTGCAAAATTCCCGCTTTGTTCTTGACCTGTAGTGAATGTTGTAAACCCCGACAATCCTACCTCGCGTTACAAATCCAACGTCAAATAAACAAGCCAACTGACTCACCTTTTAAAAGTTCATTTTACTTCCCTAATTCATTTTGTAACTACGAATGTTCATTAAGAAATTTATCCTAACTAATTCCTTATATCGGAATCAAATGATTTTAGACTAAATTTATGTACTGTGTATGATAATTGCAGACTGAATATGATTCATAAGTATAATAACCATGATTAAGTGAATATTGACCTGTACTTCATACCACAGAAAGAAAAGTGACGCTTTTTAATAGCTGAGAAAACAATTTATAACCATTTGAAAGTCTACTTCGTGCATGGTAAAGGATCTCAATTGCAATCTCCGATTCAGAGAGGATGCTTTCATTCTTTCGAAGTTACCAGTAATTAACTGGACCTGACAGTATATCTCATTATTGTATATCACGAAGACCCTAAAACAAGCAAAAGAAGAAACATACCGTAATTTGGAAGAAAAAAAAAATGCTAACCCAATTCAACATTGACAAAGAAAAAGTAAGGATTGTGATTTTATAAAAATAATAGCAAACTCTACAACAGATGGCATAAACAAGCCAACTGAATATTGAACTTTAACATATCTAGCCAGGAGCAGGCTGCATCGATATCAAGTTAATGAACCTTGTTCCATTCACAAAACCTTGTCTTTTAACCAGACGCATTCTTCCTCGCAGCATATACCCTATAAGCTGCCAGCCCAACTACGACCACTGCAGCTCCAACTGCAATATGATGATGTAATGAAAAATCATTAAATGTTGAAACAAAAATGAAAAGAAGAATAAATAGAAAGATGACTATTTGTTTATTAAATCAAAGCTCTAAATAAAAGCCGATTATACTTTTTATAAGTCTATACAAGACTCGAACAAAGACGGCATTCGAAGTTCAAAAGCAAAATTGGTCAATCAAAGTTGAAACAAGAAATCACAAGAACACGAAAAACGGCTACGAGGAAGGCAGGTTTGTAATGTATGGATTCAGTCACTTCCATTTGTTTACACCTTTGCTACAACTATATTTAGATGATTTATTTTCTAACTAATCTCTAAATTCTAAGCAACATCTAGCCAACAAGAAATCACAAGAACATGAAACAGAACCACTCGGGTGAAAAATAAAAATAAATAAATAAATAAATAAAGGAAAACAACAACAATAATACTAATAAAAATTGCAGATACAAGCTTAAAGGGAAACCACTATACACAGTTGATACCATTTGATTTTGATGAATGATGATAATTCCTTGGCTAACTAATCCCAAAATTCCAAGTAACATCCAACAAACAAGAGATCACAGGAACAAGAAACAACAGCTCGGGTGAAAAATGACCAAAAATTAGGGAAAATAATGATATAATGATTAAAAGGCAGATACAATACAAGCTTAATGGGAAACCATTATGGACACAGTTGCACAACACCTAAAGGTTACATGAGATAATGTATGGAAAATAAAAAATGAACCATACAACCAAATTAATAGAACACCCAGACCAAGATAAGCACATAACCCAAAATGATTAAAAATTAAAAAATTAAGTATAAGACAAATAATGTATAGAATGAACTAGTCAATGTAAAACTGACATACCTGAAACAGCCATGAGAGATCGATTTATAAGCCTGTGGTACTGCTTGCGGCTTCTTCCAGCTTCAGTTTCTGGAATGCTTAAATGAGGATGCTCAGCAGCAGTTACAATCCGACGGGTCAGATTATTGAAATCTCCTAACTTCACACTGATTGGTATAGGAGCCTCTACTCCCATATCTTGGCTAACCTACAAAACGCATTGGCATTTGAAAAGTGTCATTGTAGTTGATCCATGATCAAAGATACAATATTTACTTAATCTGTTCAAACAATAATTACTCATACAAATGTCCCCCATAAATGGAAAAGCAAACAATATTCTCTTCAAACTTCACTCTTGCTCACAAGTCAGAAGAAAAGTTGACTATAAAAATGGACCATACACATAAAGCCATACAATGAACTCCAAAAAATATCAAGTTTCTAGCTACAAATCTGCAACTAACAGATTAATGGCACATATATCAAAACCAGCTCCCTTGTTAAAATGTACACAAAAAATAATGTGCTGTAACATGAGTGGAAACTGTATTGTAAACCTCAACTGAGCTATCACAGTTAAACCAATCAAACATAATATATAAAATGTCTGGAAACAAATTTCTGTTTGGAATAGGTATTTTGTTGGTAAGGTTTTTTTTTTTAAAAAAATTAAATTAGGGCATACCAGCAAGACATTGATGGACTAAACATCTTATGATTCCTTAGTAGCAAAAAAATAAAGCTTATTTTGATAATCTCTAAAATCAAGATTTTGAAATATGCTAAAAAGAGCTTATAGATGGGATGGGTCATAAGCCACTCTAGTAATCATAACCGAACAATTTCAATTTTTAGCTTAAGTGATTATATTATAATATCGAATGAGCTTTGTAGAAGCAAACTAGGAAATTCAAATTGGATTCCAATTGCTTAATTAATTTCAATAAATCACTGTGACGATCAAAGGATGCATATACACAAGACTAGTTGCTATTCGTTGCTTTTCAGAGTTTAAATAAAATAAGTTTTAAAACAAGTCATTCACTTTAGTAGCTTCTTATCTATTATGTACATAATTATGCACAGTAATATGCTATTATGCACAAAATAATGAAAATGAAAAAGTCAATAGAATTACCCTAATTGACTCCTCTATAGCCATTGGAAATGAATCCAGATCATCTTTAGCTGCAACTATAAGGCAGGGCACCTCAAAGCCAGTATCTTCTCCATGACTAGCAATTTCAACCAGGAGTTCAGATGATGTTCTCCATGAGGATTCATCAGACCTGAAATGAACATCTTGTAAGCTATATATATATATATATATATATATATATACACACACACACACACAAACAACATTTTCCAAGCATGTAATGAGTTGCCCACACCACATGATCATGAAATGGTAGTTAATTTAAAATCCAATTGATGAGTTGCCACTTTAATCAGTGATTTTGTAATCCATACCATGCAAATCTAGAACATCTTATTTTCAAGTTGCTCACAACTTGGTCACAAAAGTTAATTTATAAAGATCAATCCTAAAACTTTAAGCCTAATCTGATCTAGGAAGCTCATCCAAATGCACAACAGGATTTATTCCATGTGATTATGAACTATGATGTTGAAATATAGTTTATAAGTTAAAAAAATTCAAGCATACCACACAAAATAAAATGTGAATTCAGAAAACAATATGTCTGGAAGAATTTACAAACACCTCTTTTAAATGAGTTATTTCACAGTGAAATTTATCATCTACTGATGCATATACTAAAAGTGAACAGAAAATAGATGAGGGTCATTGAAAACTTAAAAGCTACCTTAAGCCATTTTCATATTAGTTATGCAACAGGGGTAATCTGTAACTTTTGTTGTATAATAATGCTTATTAATATTAACAGTCACCTATCATGAACAAAAACTGCAATGTCACATGAGGCCAAAGACTCCTTATTTGACAGCAGCTTCCTAACTCCATCTTCAGGAATTTCTCTCAGTACAAGGTATTTTTTGTTTTCCTGCAAATGAAACAATAAAACATATACTGAGAGAAGAAACAAAAACCAATATATGTAAAAGTAATATAGTAGAAGAGGCTGGTACTGGAACAGGTGAAAGAGACAAAATGATGTTGCACAGTTAGTAGTACGCAGTATAGTAGCTATTGCCAGTTGTCAATCAAGAATCACTTACCATAGGTATATCAACAACATTTACAGCATAACGATCCTCAGTGGTTGGATTGTAACTTTCAGAATATGGCCTGCATTATTGATTCAACATTAAGGTATATGGTGTTGAAAGTTATATTACCAAGAAGCTTCACTGAAAAAAAAATGAAAATACCTTCCAATAAAAGAATTCAACAATGCAGATTTTCCGGTCTTCCTAGGCCCAAAAACAAAGCACTGCAAAACATTTCTGTCTGAATGTTGCTCCTTCCGATCCAAACGTCGCCTCCTAGTCACACGGATGGCAGATGATGGATCACCAGGGTAACCAATGTAAATCAGATTCTCCACACTAAAAGTCGGGTTTAAAAGTGTCATAAGTGCCCACTGTCCAGAAAAAGTAAAATATATGTTACAAAAATGATACTTAATGTCAATTAAAATAAAATGCTATATGCAATAAAATCTTATATGCAATTAAAAGGCACACACAAACCAGGTATATAGTCATCCGTAATTCATATTTAATTAAGGAAATAGATAACAATAATAGAGCACATAAGACTTAAGCAACCTTAATTCTCAATGCATACAAATTAAAAATCCTAAGAGAAGCCCACAATTCTTTTAAAACAAACATTCAACAAAATGCTGGATGAGAGATAAAGAAGATAAAAGACTAGCGCACCTCTGATAAAAATGCATCTAGTGATAGTCCCCCAAATGCATTTTTTTCTGCAGCATCTTCATATGGAATTCCAGTCCAAGGACTGCAATTCAAAACAATAAAATATCAAATAAAGCTGGAAGGATTCCTTTTTGACATCAGACTCAGGAAAGGAAAACATAGAAAATGCCATAATTAGTGTAGAATCACTGAAGAAACAAAATTTAGAAGAATGTCATGTTGAAACTTTCTTGTGACTTGTAAACTGGTTTAAAGTTCAACAAAGCCAATATGAGCCAAATTTTTATCATTATCTAACCTGACTGTTCAGTGTTTGAAGGTATTGTAAGCTTAGCAGGTTTCAAGATCAAAATTCACATGAAGAACATTTAATGGAGATATTGTTAGATCAGACTCTAACCATTAGGCCAACAGAAATAAAGATATGAATCAGATAAACTTCAAGTGTTGAGAGTTGAGAGTTAAGAAGATAAGAAATTTAAAACAAAATACACTATGAACAATTCAGATGACTTCAAAACATCTGAAGTAAACCAAGAAGAGAAACTCAGAAGACTTGGCCTCAAGTTCAAAAGACTCCTTAAGCAAGGTCACTAAATAAGCTTCAAAAATCAAAAGACACAAGCTACAATGGTGTACAGGTTCGATATATATGTGTGTGGAGATGAATAACCACAACTGATGCCAAAGAGGACAAAGTCATCACTGAAAAAAATCGAACATGCATCTTCAAACTATATACCATGTTCATTAAAGTTTGCTTAAAGATTCATGCGAGAGGGGTAAAATGAATACAACAATGAAATAATCTTTTTTTCACGTCTTCTCATCTACATATCAAGTCCATTTAGTTTGCAGATGCTTTGTAACAACTCTGCAGTTTATATTCATTCACTCTGAGTGATTCTTAGAGTGATGAACACCTTTTATCTCTACTGTAACCCCTAGTAAGTGCTGGAGTGATAGATTTGTCTGCAAGTTGTTAGCCTAAAGAGGCTTTTAAATAATAAACAACACTGGTGTAATAATCCAGAAGAGGCCTAGTGAAAAAAAGAACACTCTGCTGTTAGCCAGAATCCTGGAGAGGCTATTATGAACAAAGAGTACTGTTGTGACCAGCGTTGTTGAGACTTCCTACTTAGAAAAGAAAAATACTCGAAGAGTAAAATCCCACCATGTAGGTGGAGACTAGACGTAGCCCAACTAGACAGTAGAAAAAGGAAAATCAGTATGAAAATCTTGCAAGTATTTATCTCCAAACCCTTACTCTTTGTTGATTCAATATATATGCTGATTTGAGTTGCTTATATCAGATATAATTGAAAATAATTGAAAGCTCTTGTATAACATTGATTCATCTAAAATGTTACATGTTTCAGAAACTTTGCTTTTTAATTAACTTGTATAAAACTACCTCCGTTCCTATATATAAGAACTAAATACCTAATGCATCAAGACCAATGAAAGTAGTTAAATTAGTTAGTTGTATTTAATAATGTCATAATTTGAAATTTTATTCCAAAAATACCCATAGAATTAGATAGTGTAAGTGACAGTTATATTTGATGATACTACTCAAAAGTCAAAGGAATAATTTTTTTCAACCAATGGGCATGACTAAGTTGTCCAATAAATGCATTTACCTTCATGAAAGATGAGTAGATAACTCATTAATAGTCTCACAATAGATTAAGGGTATAAAAAGAATTACCAATTAACACATTTAAAAGTAAACTTATGTTTCTTATACTTAAGACAAAAATAAAACTCTCATAATCCATTTGTTTCTTATATATAAGAACGGAGGTAGTATATCCTAAGGCTCAGAAGATTAAGAATCTTAAATATATCCTATTAATTCAAACCTGAGAAGACCAACCTTCTCAGTACTTGTAATCTTCTTTAATGCTCTTATGACCTTCAAGCTATACTTGAGAACTAGGTTTGCTGAATTTACCAAGGGTACAATTCAACCCCTCTTGTGATCAGTTCTGCATCTTCAGTAAATAACAAATTCTCATAGCATGTGTATATTTTAAAAAAACAAAATATATTAAATTCAACATCACAATACCCTCTTACCAATTCAAGAAAAAACTAATTACAGAAAGCAATATACCTTTCTGGTGCAGTAGAAAACAATTCTTCAAGTTCACGAGGTCGCAACATCCCATCCTAGAGGAACAAAAAATATTGTTGAATTTTAAGAATTGGGCAAGTTACCATTTGAAAGTTAGATCATAATAGATCATCCGAGAAACTATGTTCAAATAAGAATTGACATACCCCATCACCATCAAATGCATCAAAAATTGCCTTCAAAAAATCAAGTGCTTCATTTGTCAGCTCCACACTCTGCAGACATTAAGTCAATCTAGATCAGAACAAAATAAAAATTCCCTATCATCCACAAATTGATTTGACAAAAACAATACACATAAACATTAGATCGCAATTCATCTCCAAAGAAATACCTGATCAGGAGCACGTTTTATAGGTGGAATTAGATCATCAGCAAGCTTGATATCATCATTATATCCAAACTTCCTGAGCACAGTCCATGTTGTCTCAAGACGCCCTTTTTCTATGAAAAGGGCATGAAGAAAAAGGAATCCAGTCAAAGTAAGTCCACGTTCATTCACCCCTTCAGACAATTTTTCTTGTACAACCTTCTTTACACCCACAATTTCGGATGGTTGCAACGGGGCATTGAAACATTTAACCTGTTAAATGTTCTGTTAGCTTTTTCACAAATCATATAAAAAAACTACCTTAAATGTTATGATCAGGCTCTAAGACTATATAACACATAATAAATAAGCCTCGATTTTAATGTTAAATGTTGTCATCTTAAAAGGGGAAATGCAACCTGAAAATCATTCAGCTCAGCATCACTAAGGGCACCATCTCTGTCATGGTCACAGAGGATAAAAATTCGCTTCAAAGCTCGCACACATCGAGGCTTCAGAGTTTGTGACTCTTGATCAAATAATGGAGCTGTTGGATGAAGAACAGCCTTTTGCGCATAGTAGAAAACCTCAGGGACCTTCAATAAGAAGGTTTTAAAAGCAGTTGTATGAAACAAAATCCAAAAATAATTGATTAGCACCTTTAAAATATATGTCAAAACAAATAGTTTGATTTCAATGGTTAGTAGAAAAGATACCTGAATATGCCTAGATGCTGAACACTCAATGCAAGTTTCAATCTCCCGGAACTGTTGCATTATTGGTGACATCACCTGTTCTAGGCTCACTTGCTGATTTTCATCTCTCAAATCAAGCTTACAGCCAACTACTATGACTGGAACTTTCACCTGTTCATCAAGTTCAAACACTTATCATGCATATATACTCTCAAAATGAGAAGGCAAATGAACCATGTGAATCTCATTAAGTTTTGTGAGATGAACAAATGTACGCAAGCATGTGGGCAACAATGGATATTTTTTTTATGATTCTTTTGACAAGATAAAAGTGCATAACTTCCCTCCCCCCCAATTATAATTTTTTTAGCCTCTTTTTTAACTAATCACTTCTAAAAAGAAAAGAAAAATATTAGGAGCCACAATTGAACATTTAGCCCTTGAAGAGTCAAAAATAAAGACCAGAACCTCTAATTTGCGAAGGTGTGGAAGCCAAAATATGCTTAGATTTTCAAGTGTCTCAGGGCGATCACATGCATAAGTAAGGACCACTGTGTCAGCCCGCTGCAATTCTTCAGCAACTTTATCACTATCCTCAGGACTGCAATAATAATAAATAGTCTGTAGCAATCAATGATAAGTTGTGCATGTATGTTTAGCTGGAGATTAATTAATTTTGAAAAATAATTTCTTTTTATCTAAAAATCTCTGGCAAGAGAGAGAGAGATTGATTGATATTTAAAATTAACCTGAATGAAACACAAAAAGCACAAAATCACATTTATAAGAGATTACTAAGTGTAAAAACACACATACTTTTAATTTAGCAATAATAACTAAACACGACGAGTAAAAAACAGCTCAGAAAGCAAAGAGCCAAACTAATCTCAAGGAAGAATATCCAGGAACAAACAACATAAAGGTTATGAGTCCAGCTCCAAAGTGAAACATCATCAAACGTTTCGGCGTTCTGGATTAATTCGCGAAAAACATTAACATTAAATCCGCTATTCAAAGAATCCTCCACACGAATCTTAAAGGCAGAAGCGAAAGACACGTCCGAAATTGAAACTGAAATTGAAATTGAAAACGAAAACGAGGCGAATCCAGTGAGCAATAGGTGGCGAAGAAAAAAGGAAAAGAGAGTACCGGGAAGAGGTGTCGATGATGGTGATAGGCACAAGATCCGGATACATATCTTCGGGCAACCTGGTGGGAGGCAAGACCGGCGGCACATTGACGGGAAAGTTATCGGCGGCGGCGGTTATGATGAGGCTGGATTTTCCGGTGGCTTGGTCTCCGGCGACGACGATACGAACGCCGGTGCGGCTGTGAGGGTTGACGGTTCCGGAAGAAGGTTTAGCCATGTCTGGAAAGGAGAAGAATAAAACCCTAGACGGAGCTTCTTGTGGCCGTCCACGGTTAATATTTGTAGCACCGTTACTTGTCTTCCACCTCACTTCTCACTTCTCACTCCTCACCGTATCGTATGAGGCTACCAAGCAAACTCTCCTCTAATAACTACACTTTTACTTTTGCTTCAAAAAAAATAACTACACTTTTACTCCTTTCTACGCTATCTAACTCTATTACCCTATACAAAATAAATGTTAAAATTACAATTTTGTCTAAATTATTAATAAAATTAATATTATTACTTAAATTAATAATTCATTTTCTTATAAAATATAAATTAACCAAAAAAAAATCCTAAGCGTGTGGTTCAGCGGTAGGAGTTGATCCATGTTTAAGCAAGGTTAGGTGTTCAAATTCTGCCTTGTGTATGCAGCCGCGTTAAATCTTGAGACTAACTATTCCACCATTTAAAGAGATTAGTCACTACTATCAGCTCTGGATACTCTGTAAATGAAAAATAAATAAATAAATAAATAAACCAAAAGACTTGGACGGTTGTAATATAAAAAGGGCATGCTTTTTTTCTAATAAAATTTTAAGTGACGTTTATAAAATAAAATTTAAAAAAATTCCTTCATATATATATTCTTGATTTTTCCACTTTTCATGGATGATTTCCCGGACTAATAAATTTTATGCAACTATATACGATTGAAATGGCATAAATGTTGCCCTTTTTGAAACATATTAGGAAATTGCATGAAATGATTTTTACATTGATAGTGCGAAACAGTAAGCCAATGGTCACTCATAATTTTTTACAACTTGGTGTCTATTGATCATGTGCTGGTGGTGTCCATTATTTCGTACATATAACAATACAAAGGAGAACATAATTTAACAACTTAGCATAAATGTTTCCTAAATTCATAATATACTCATCTCGTGCAACTTGCAAGTTCAACAAGGAACCCATTTTCACAGCTAAATGTGAGAGAGCTTTTTCCTATACCTATAAATTTCCATGGAGGTATATAAATGATATATTAAGAGAATTATTCGAGTCTTTCCATATCAATAGTCTCAATTCCGTGTGCTCAATATAAAACAAGGTACCTACCCAGAAATATATTAAAAAAATTTAAATATTAATTTATGTCCTATAAATATTTTTGAAAAAAAAGGGAAATAAATTTATTACTAATGTAAAAACATTTATTATATAAAAAAATTAAAATGATTTAATATTTATTTCGAAAGTAATTAAGTAAATTATATCAATACTTCCTAAATCTATTAAAACATGGTTCATTATGGGTTGATGATAAAAAGAAAATAATTAATCTCACAGCTACAAGTCATGGGTATATGATGGTATAAACTAAAAACGTGTGACAATGACAAGTTCCAAGAAGAAACGTTAAAAAGTGAAGTTGATATAACCTTAATTGTGTCTATTGTTATTGTTTTTCATTATCTGTCCACTACTAGTGATTAACATTAAATCACCGATTTTTTTCTTTTATAATTAAAGTGAAGTACAGTAGTAGTTGTAATAAGCTCAATGATACTGTAGGAGAGAAATGTGTTACTGTTACGTAATAATAACCAACGGTGAAAAAATAAAAGAAAACGGAGTGGGCCGAACGGGTGAGTTATCATGGTCCAGCCCAAATATGCAAGAGGGCCTAATTTCGCAATGACGTTCATGGCAACATGAACATGAGAAATATTAATGAACGTAGAGGTGGTGGTTTGAACTTTGAACAACGTAACGAAGGAAAGGAAGACATTGAAATTTGATGAAAATGATGTCCGGAAATTACACCTCCATTGATAATCAAAAGGTTTCAGGATCTGTGCCTGTGAGTTATTGTCTTCCATCCTTCATGAAATTCAATTAATTTTCTTCCATTTACATTTATTGTCACATTTCATTTTCAATTTCATGCAGGCTGTTCCAGATCCCCCATCCTTTAAATTCTCAGGTTTTTTCAATTTCACTGTCATTTCTATTTTCAGTGATTTGTTATGTTGCCTCTGCCATTGGACAAACAAAAATCATTAAACAAAGTGATAGTTATATGTATTATTATTCGTGTTTCTTTGTTTTCTGTGCCATGCACTGATTCTATTGTTTTTGGTTTGTCAAATGTTTTTTGTATTGGTCTGTGTAGAGTCAAATCTTCAGACATTTCCTCCATCTGGAACAGAGGGCAAGATTAGTGGTGGTTCGAGGCCTCCACGTGATGTTGATGGTATTTGATGATGTTGTTTATGTTGATGGTATACTTTGGGAGAAGAAAATAATATAAGTTTCATTAGTTTTTTCATAAATTGAAAATCGGCTTTGAAATAAACTAATAAGTGAGAATTTATATAAATTAGTTTATGCAATTAATTTTAACTTTTAAACAAGTTTAGTTTATTTTATCTATTTTCTTTATAATTATGTTGTAATTGATTATTAGCATCGCAACAAGAGCTTTGTAATTGTGTTTATTTTCTTTATGTAGATACATTTTCAAGACCAGAATCTGTTTCTGATGAAGCCCAGCAGAGTGGTTGGTTTCGGGCTTTCTCACTTGCTACTTACAAACCATACTTTGATATTGACACTATAGAAGTTCTAGAAAGGATTAAAGACTCACTTTATCCATTCAATGGAACTTTCAACGAAAAAACTGCTAGCAACCCTGATTTGTAAGTTCACTTGCTTCTTTCTAATTGCAGCTTATTGTTGTTATTACTACTATGAAACTAATCTCCATAGTTCTTCACTATTGACTCTTTTTACGAGGATGACAAACATATCAAATAATGTGTTGTCGGTTGCATTAGCATTAGTCAGTTATTTTTTATTGTGTTGCATAGAACATAACCTGTTGGGTTGAGAAGAGTGGTCTACATTCCATTCACGTTGAAGTTGGAGGTGGACAAACTGGAAACTTCGTTTCTTCTGCTAACTGATGCATGACAGAAGCACTTTAAGGAATAAGGACGTTGCATGGTATCATTCTACTCGGTAGAAACTCTGGAATTTCGCTGATTACAAGGAAAACCCATGGAATAAATGTGCATAAATAAAAATTACAACAAATTTATTCAAATGTGAGTTCCAACTGAATATGAAAGTAAAAGAAGCCTCGCATTATATAAGAATGAAAGAAGTGAAGACTTTATAAATGGAATGAGATGAATTGGAATGGATTGGAATAAAGTTACCTTTCCATTGTTTTATTTGAATATTGTTATATTAGAATGGGACAAAAATAGCAGATCCATCTCATACTCCCCATATTGGAGAGGAAGAATAAATAGAGGTAGTAGATGGGATGGAATGCATTCCATCGTATTGAATTCCATTCCTTCTCATCATATTTTAAACAATCCAAACTCTAGCATCATTTCATTTCTTTCCTTTTCATCAATTCAAGACGCAGCAATAAGGTTTTAGGATGAGATATGGTATCAAGTCTATTATTGAGGTTTCCTCTTTGAGTTTATTGAAGCAGATCTCCTGGGTGTTTAGGATCTTGTATCCTAACACAGTAATTATAGTTGACCCCCCTTTACCCTGCTTGGTTGTTGTTTCCTTTCTAATACTTTGTGCTCCATTTAACTGTGTGCTGGTTTTTTTCATTTCTCATGAGATTTCATTATAGTATATTCTGTGGCTTGAGTTTCTTATTACCTATGTACCAAAGTCCAGTGTAAAGGACTCCTACTACTATTTTTAAATTTTAGAGAACAAATACTTATTATCTGTGTGGCAGCAAATAATTTGGATTTGACCATAAATGTGCACAGGTATGGACCCTTCTGGATTTGCACTACCTTAATATTTGTAGCAGCATCCATTGGCACATTTGTGACATATTTATCACACAAACTGAAGCATCAGGAATGGAACTATGACATAAATCTGGTGACATGGTCCGCTGGCTTGTTTTATGGTTACGTCACCATTGTTCCTCTTGGTTTGTATTTAATCCTTAAGTACTTCTCTGTACCATCTGGCCTTGTCCAACTACTCTGCCTCTATGGATATTCCCTATTTGTCTTTATTCCGGCTCTGGTGAGTTACTGCTCTTCAAATTTTCTTTCAAGAAATTATTAGGTTATCTTGAACTATATGATCTTTAAATATTCTCTACATAATATGTAATTAAGTGTAATTATTGTTTCCTTGTAAATTGAAGATTTTAAATACATGTTATGTAGTAGTTGGTTGGGATTTGGGACTATGGACACTTTGGTGATTTTGTATTACCTAATAATTTTTCCTTTCAAGAAAGTATGGAAGTTGACATTTTGCTTTGTATTCTCCAAAATACTTTGTTTGGTGCAGTGTATGTCTGTTGTGCCATGGGAGATATTCAGATGGTTGATAGCTGGGGTGGCTGGATTCATGTCAGCAACTTTTGTGGCACTTAACCTCAGAGCACATATTTTGTCAGCAGGTGAAAGATGGCTTTTGATTGTTGCTGGCATTTTTCTATTACAGCTGGCTCTAGCTGTTGCACTAAAGGTCTACCTCTTCACAGTAACAGTATGAGACGAAAGTAGTACTAATACTATCATCATACGGGATCAATGAAGTGTAGATAACGAACAGAGAGCTTTTTGTTGGTTTAAATTTTCAGTAATATAATTTGTAGCTGAAATGAGACTATCAGATTAAACCGTCATTAGTTTTTTCAACGCAATATAGAGGCAAATAAAAATAGTTTGTATGTTTGATAACTACAAGCAAATGTTTCTGTCATTTGTTATGTTACATCTAACATGTCCCTCATGCAACAATCCTTCCTTCCTTTACACTTGAAATGTGGATAGAAGCTCACCAATCTTGTTAAAATACATGAGAATATTTGTATATCAGAGTAGTAGCAACGTATTCTATAATATAGGGAAACAAACCTTTTGCAGGGACACTCGTTATCTTCACCTTGATTATTTTCCTGCCCATTTTCATTTCCTACTTACACTCACCTTACTCTTTTTCTTTCTTATTCTTTGTTACTAAAATTAATAATTTAATTTATAACATTATTAAATAAGTTTTTCAAATTGACAAGATGTAAGTACCGAGCATCAAGACATTTTTTATGGTCATATATATTTTTATCCATAAGAATTATAATGATAATAATATTTAAATCTAAGATTGTGTGTATATTATTTCAGTCTCGTATCATTAGACCCATTCTAATATGGTTATATGCATCTATCGAAGAATGAACGATATTATTAATATTTCTCATAAATATATTACATTAAAAACAAAAATAATATAATATTGAGAAAATATAAAAGTTTACTTCTAACATTAATATTGTTACAAATTTGTAATAAAAAAAACTTGTAATTAATGTTTACTATAAGTGCATTCTCAAGATCCTAAAATGATAGATTGCATTCATACTACAGATATATAATAATTCCACCAATTATGTAATTTTGAACCCTAAACTTAGTCTATAAAGAATGTTCTTATATAAATTATGATAATTATAAAGAAAGTAATAGTATGAATATGCGGTGAGAGCATATCAAATTAGATCAGTAATTTTTAATTGAATTGTAGCAAAGTTAAATGCAGCAAGACCATAATAAAGTAACATAGAATTGAACCCCAACTAAGTTAAGAGCACGAGTGCGGATATCATCAGATTCAACTTCCCTTTGTGGCCCAATCCTTTGCTTGGGTAACTTTGGTAAGAAGATACTATTCGGAGCCCACTTAAAAGCAGTAATAAATTAATTTGGAAATGAGGCTCATAATAACAACTCACAAGTCACAAGATCAACATAAAAATAATAACAAAGATCTCATGCAACTGCTCGAGCAAAACAAGAGATGGAAAGATGCCACATGCTAGTCCAAAAGAAGACATAGACCTTATTAAAATAAAATATATATTGCTCGAAACCTTAAACCTAACAAAACATAAGCTAAAAGATGCCTCTTGTTCAATCTCTTGCTTCTTCAACAGCCAAATCTTACGTAGTAAAATATGAAGTTAAAAGGAAATCCTACTAGCCCTAGGAATGTGCTTTGACAAATAATGAAATCATTAACATTTAGGTTTTTTAAGTGTGTGAAAAGGGCAAACTAAAATCAACTTATTTGAGGATTCCGCAAACGGACAAGGTTAGGTTAATTCTGGATTTTTTTAATTGTTGTTAATTGACCCATAGAATAGCATCCGCAAGAATTGCCAATTGCCATTATGATAAAGAAAGGATTGGTTGGTATCCAATAATGTACACATTTCATAATGCACAAATTCAAAGTTCTGATTTATGAATCGTCCTTGCATGTCTGGTATAGTTGCATGAAAATTAGCTGTGGGACATTGAAAGATTGTCTAGCATGAACCGTGATTCAGAGTAATTATTAAATGGGTTTATTATAAGCCCTTAAATAAAGAGTAAGCATGTGTCAGATATTATTTTAGAAATAAGTAGATTTTTAATAAGGCTTACACAATCTTGCACAAGTTAATTATTGATTAAATGTCGAAGGTGTACTGTATCAGTATGACATTACTAATTGACTGAGACGTGAGCTTGACCATTGGTTCCCTACATTTCCTGGATCTTTCTTAGTGATGAACAAACCTATGTTTCAAACATGAAAGAATGAGAAACAGCTATTTATCCCTATTCCCTATTATAAACTCAGCATTCTGTTTCTTACATACCTCTATTGTAGACACAGACATCAAGAGGTGACTCAAATCTTGATTTTTATTCTCCATCTTTGGCTCAAACAAGCTACTAAAGAAGAATAGTATGTTCGTTGAAGATAGTGGGAAAAATCATGTCAATTTCAAGGACACAAATGGGGTGTTTATTGGTGCTGATACTGGTATTATTTAGCAGATTTTGTTTAAGCCATGGAGCATTAGGTGGTGGATGTGGAAAAGAAGTAGAACATACACACAAGTTTCCAGTATGGAGGAAAAGCTTTAGGCATGAAACAACGGGAGGCTCTTACAAGACAGTTAATAGAGAAGTACCTTCCTCTCCTGACCCCTTACACAACAGGTAGGTTGTTTTAGTTACTTCAATTGACTGAATCCTCTGTCCTTACAAGACCTGTTCTGCACATAAACAGTGCTTCACCTGGGATGAGTGGCAAGTAGTCACGATCACAATTCAAGTTTTGGAAGAACTATGTCACTTTTACTCCTTTTTCTCTCTCTTGAATATATTGAGAGGGTTTTCTGTATGCCTTTATTTTGTCTTTCATTATCAAACACTCCTAAAGTACATTACCAAAAAAAACTAGGTATGGTATGTACAGCTATTTTCAGATTCTTTACTTCGTGAAGCTGAAAACAAGGTTGCTCGAGTTACCTGGCATGGAGAACCTTTGGAAAGTGGAAATGTTCACATTCTGTGTACCGGTGATGGACATTAGCTACGATGGCTTGCATTTTATATTGTTGACATGGATTTAGGGTAACTAGGCCTTGCAATACGCAGAAACGTAACTGCTTGAAAATTGCAATACCATACGTTGTTTCCCAGCTAGAGTAATAATGGATGATAAATCTCTTAGTCAACTCCCGTCACCTCTGCTCTAATTTTTTTACAGTAGTTGAGAATTATCGCTTAAAACATGGTGCTGTGACTGAATGACATTGTAAGATTGCTTTAGAAAGTAAATTCCTATATTTTGTTTCTACTTTCTACAGCTTAAATTGCAAGAAAACAACCATTTATAGGAATTTTAAAAATTCTAGTAACTAAAATATATAATCAAGAACCAAAACTAATTATTTTTTTAGTTCTGACCTCGTTGAAAATTTCCAAATAGTTTAGAAACCAACTAAATTTAACACCTCTCCCTGTTAGTACGTGTGTTAGGTAACTACAACACTGACAATAGGACGCTTCTTTGACAATCGAATTAAGTTGATCAAAAGAAAAGTTAATTAGCGATTGGAAGTTTGAAATGCCGATGATATCAAAAGATCAAAGCAGTAGGGTAAATAATGCGAAAATAAAATCCTCGTGATTGTTATATGATAAAGAAAACTTGAATTGCTATGGGTAAATCCATGCCAGAACACATGAATAAAAAGGAACTGTTGGAGGCTCTGGGAAAAAAACTAATTTCTTAAAATATTTGCTTTGACCCTTGAACAATAAAGATTGAGAAACATGCAAATGAATCCACAACGCAAAAACCTATCACCGTAAGTAAAGAAACTAGCCAGAAGGTTGGATTGCCAGGGAAACCCAAGTCCCTCCCCACTACAATACTTGGTTGAATACTCTAGTCCCTATTTTCCAGACCGCATTCCTCTTTCCAATGAAATTTGTAATTGAAGTTAATATATGAGCAGCTCGATTAAATTGTACGTGTTTCAATGCCCTGCAAGACAAACCAATGCAGACTTCAGAATTCTAATCCCAATACCCAGAACTTCCTTATACTTGTATTGCACTCAAATTGAACTGGAAACTCGTTTTGACAGGATTCTACTACGGTGACCAAATTATTCCCGTAACCCCAGGGAGGAAAAACATTTATATCGAACCAATTAATGACCTCTATCTAAAATAACCAAACTTTAGTAAGAAAGCAACGAAAATAAACACATTCTGACGTGTGTTTCATCCTTTCAAGCAAAACTAGGACATCTGATCCATATGGTCAACAATTTCGCAATGAATAAAAACACCAAAATGCAATTAAGCACAAGTTTTTTAGATTAATGAATTACAGAATATGCCATGCTGTGTACTTTGGCCAAAAAATTTTGCATGCTCCTCAAAATCATTTTACTATTAGTCATATAAGGGAGAGAAAGGAAGTCTAAACAGTGTGTGGTGGATAATAACTAGGGTCATCATAACCTACAACTCTGAACAAACTCTTCATAAATATCACTGACTTAAAATGCAATTAGGCCTTTGATTTCTTCCCTTTGGCTTCATTAGACGGTTGGTTCTTGAAAGGCAGGAAAGTCTTTCCACCCATGAATGGCCTGAGGACTTCTGGTATCTCTACCCCATCTTCCTTCTGGTAGTTCTCTAGTATGCAGCAAATGGTCCTCTCAGTAGCCGTTAGAGTAGAGTTCAACAAATGAACATATTGCTTCAACTGTTCATTGCTCTGCAACAGGTAACATGCAAAGTCTAACGGTTAAATTTATGAAAGAGCATTTAATCATGGAACATCTTAGCCTCCTTAACAATCATCACTCGTGATTATTCTCAAAATATAAATTTACTTGTTTGCCTAATAAAATTTGGATGAGACAATCCTTGTAAAAAAAAAGTGACAAACTAGAAATTTCAGTGCAGAATGGATTTCATAAATGCAGATCAAGAGATGTTTCCATTATTAGACAAGGCCTCATTTTTGAAAAATGGAAATGGATTTTTTCATCAAGTTAATGAATAATGCTTATTGAACCCATCAATATAATGAAATTAGGCATTACTGACCTTTTTCTGACCATATCGAATTTCTAATCTTCTGGCCTGATAGTCTGTACAGTTTGAACAGGACACTAGCTCTCTGTAAGCTTGAGAGGCTGGAAACCATGCTTCTAGATCATACTTCTTTGCTGCAGCATCATTCAAAGCACCAGATACAATGGAGACAACTTGATATGGAAGGTTTAACTGCGGTAAATAAAATTTAATCACATGAGAAACAAATAAAACTTGGGGGAAGAATGCAGTCAATTTAGGTCTGATCAATCTACATCCAGTGATATCCATCAAAAATAGAATGAGATAACATTAAGTTGTCACTTGGAAAATACCGAGTGCAAACAGTCATCACAAGCAAGGTTGTCAATCTCGAGAGTTTACGTAATCTCGTGGAGGCTCCGTAAACTCGTATCGTAAACTCGTCTCGTAAACTCGTAAGAGATTAATCAATAATAAATAAATAA